CACTTTGTCGACCATCTCCAGGAAGACTTCTGAGTTCTTTAAAAAAAAAAAATTATATGAGAGAGAGAGAAATATAGATTTGTTGATTTGTTGTTCCACTTATTATGCATTCATTGGTTGGTTCTTGTATGTGGTCTATTGCAGTGGTTCTCAACCTTCCTAATGATGCAACCCTTTAATACAGTTCCTCATGTTGTGGTGACCCCCAACCATAAAATCATTTTTGTTGCTACTTCCTAACTGTAATTTTACTACTGTTATGAATCTTAAATATCTGATATGCAGGATGTATTTTCATTGTCACAAATTGAACAGAATTAAAGCATAGTGATTAATCACAAAAACAATATAATTATATATTATGAAATATTTATTTCTAATTACAAATAAATGAAATTTTGTCTTGAAGCATGGTGCAGCATGGGTAACAGTCTTAATATAACAACAGTAACATTGCTACATTTTGCAACAGTATGCGTAAAAAGCCAATGTCAGTGCAAAGGTTGAGATTGCTTCTTTCTCACCAGATCAGAAATTCTTGAGGCAGTCTTTGCAAGAGCACAACGAAGATCATCTTCCAGAACAAGTCTACTTCTGTATTTAGACTTGATAACCAACAAGGTGAAAAACCCTGGTTCACAGATATGTTGTTGGAAATGGAAGAAGGCGCAACACAGTCTCGGACAGAACGGGATATGACTGCAAACACTTGATCCAGAATTTTGTAACTGGCATTGTAGAGAAAACAGTTCTTGCTGCATCACTGTTAATAAGTTCAATGAACTCCTCTTGTGCTGTCTCAGGAACATCTCCAACTTTGATTATGAATGGGCTTCTGGCAAGTGCAAATGGGGTGTCAGGTAGATTTGGAAAGTACGATGAAATTTCATCTGCAAGCATGTGCAAGTGTTCTTTCACAGAAATTATCGTCATAATCCTTTTGTGTGGTTCAATGTCATGTTCCTCAAAGAAAGCAGATAAGGTAGGCAACATGTAAATTTTATTTCCATCCAATTTTTTTTTGCCAAAGCTTAAGTTTCATTTGGAATGATCAGATCTTTTCAGACAAACCGAGGCATGTTGCATTTGGTCCCTGCAGTGATAAATTTAACTCATTCAAGATGGTGAAGATGTAAACCAAGCAAGCTATTTTCTGCAGTTCACTTTTATCACTGAAAAGTGCTTCGAACTGCAGTCTTGCTTTCTGATTAAAAAACATTTTGAGCCCTGGCCAGTTTGGCTCAGCGGTTAGAGCGTCGGGCTGCGGTCCTGAGAGACCCGGGTTCGGTTCCCGCTAAGGGCATGTACCTCGGTTGCAGTTTGTCCCCAGCCCTGGTCGGTTGTGCGGGTGGCAGCCACTCGATGTGTTCCTTTCGCATCGATGTTTCTCTCTCTCCCTCCCACTCTACCTGAACAAAAAATGGAAAAATGTCCTCCGGTGAGGATTAAAAAACAACAACAACAAAACAAAAAACATTTTGAGTTCATCATGAAGCTCAAAAACATGTTTAAAAACTTTTCCTGTCGCCCTGGCCGGTTTGGCTCAGTGGTTAGAGTGTCGGCCTGCAGTCCAGAGAGACCTGGGTTCAGTTCCTGCTAAGGGCACGTGCCTCGGTTGTGGTTTGTCCCTGGCCCTGGTTGGGTCGTGAGGGTGGCAGCCACTCGGTGTGTCCATTTCACGTAGATGTTTCTCTCTCTCTCTCTCTCCCTCCCTCCCACTCTATCTGAACAAAAAAATGGAAAAATGTCCTCGGGTGAGGATAAAGAAAAAAAAATTTCCTGTTGACAACCATCTCACTTTAGTGTGAAATAGCAGAGCATTGTTCAGTGCATCCAACTTGTTGCACAGTTGCAAAAACAGTCGACTGTTTAAAGTGCTCACCTTTACAAAATTAACAGAACTTATGATGCTTTCATTACTTCTTATAACTCTTGTGGCAGCGTCTTCATTGCTAATATTTGCCGATGAATCATACAGTGAGTTCTGACGACTTTTGGTGACTCATTCAGTACCAAACATTGAAATTCAGATCGACATCCTAGCATAGCTGGAGCACCATCTGTGCAAACACCACAAACCTTTTCCCAAGAGATCTTATGCTCTTTCAGAAATGAACCGTGTCAAACACATCACGTGCAGTTGTCATTTCAAGAGGTTTGCAAAAAGAAACTCATCTTTAAAGTCGCGATCATTAATATACCTCATGTAAACCAGTAACTGTGAACAGTTTGCAACGTCTGTAGATTCATCAAGTTGGATGCTAAAAATTGGAAGTGGAGCAGATTTAATTTTCTGGATAACCTAATCAAGAATATCAGCAGACATGTCATCTATTCTTCTTCGGACAGTGTCGTTAGATAAGGTAATTGCACTCAATTTCATAACAAATTTGTCTCCAATCATAACTCGAATAATGTCTTTGGCCACTGGCAACAGTAAATCCTCAGCAATGGTGTGAGGTTGCATAGCTCTAGTGATTCTGAGTCCCACCAAATATGAAGCTTCAATGGCTGCCATTTTTTGTTTGTGGTACTTGTCACCAGTGTCAAGTCTGGCTTTCTTGAGTCCATCAGCTTTGCTTCTAAAATAGTTGGTATCCTTGCCAGCAAAGCTCGGATGCTTGCTATCAAAATGGTGTTTTAGTTTGTTCGGTTTCATAGATTCAGCTGATAGAACTTCACAACAAATAACACATGGCGGTTTCTCAATTCCTGCTGTAATTATTGAGGTAAAACCACACTGTAAAAAATCTTCACTATATTTTTTCTTAACATTCTTCTCTACATGCTCCATTGGCATGAGATGATTTGCTAATGAAAATAATATATAACATAGCTTTAATAATACAAAAGATGATACATGGCATAGTTTAGTCAATACAGTTCATTAAAGTTTCCTATGATTTACCATTCTGTGTTGTTTTTTTTACATACCTGTTACTATCACAAGGGGGCAGTATTCACATCAATCACAGCTGAATATAAAAAGACTAATCAACATCCAGATTAAGTTCCTATGGTACAGATATATATTTTTTGCAGTAGTTGGTTTTACAGTACACGATTTTACATTTACCCAGTAATAATAATTCAAAAATTGTCATTTTACCTCCAATACTGCTGCTTTCAACACAGTAGCTGCTCTCTACACATATATGACTGGTCTGCATAAGAACATTATGGTGCCAACCCTGTCACATATACCTGTATTTGTACAGGGTGTATGTGATGGGGTTTGTGCAATGATGTCATCACGCCGGGTACTCGTATGTGGGCATATCTGTATGTGGGCAAATCTGCATGTGAGTGGACCCGCCTGGAGACGGATAGAAAAGCGGTGTTTTGGTTCCTAGGACCATCGGAAATATGTGTTTTCTCATGGTCTTAGGTGATCCCTGTGAAAGGGTTGTTTGACCCCCAAAGGGGTCATGACCCACAGGTTGAGAACCACTGGTCTATTGGGTCCACGTACTAGCCAACTGAGTTACCTGGCCAGGGTGACCTCTGTAGTTCTAAACTAAAAGGCACAAAGAGTTGGGCAGGAAGTTAGGTTTAAAGTAAAGCCACTAGAGAAACATTTTCTACAACTTCAATGCATTTGTTCTTGTAAAGGAAAAGTGATTTACAAATGAGTCTTTTTTATTAAGCATTTGGCTAGTAGTTAGCCTTTCTTGAAAACAAGCCACAGGACTTTAGATAGATTCCAAATGTGTTGCCTGTAAGCAGGCAAAATTGGAGGTCCTTTTACAGCTTCTCTCCTAATCACACAGCAGGATGCAAAATGTATTTTGTGGAACTATCATAAGATTTGTTGGCATCAAAGAGCTCAAGATTCAAAACCTTGCTTTCCTGTTCACTCTGACTTTAAGAAAATTACTTAATCCTTCTGGGCTTGTTTCCTTATCTGTAAAAAACAGAAAGAAAAAAAGCTGCTTTGCCCTGGCCGGTTTGGCTCAGCAGTTAGAGTGTTGGCCTGCGGACCAGAGTCCCAGGTTCGGTTCCCACTAAGGGCATGTACCTTGGTTATGTTCCGTCCCCGGCCCTGGTTGGGGTCGTGTGGGTGGCAACCACTTGATGTGTCTCTCTCATGTCGATGTTTCTCTAGTTCTCCCTCTCTCCCTCCTGCTCTGCCTGAAGATAAATGTGAAAAAATGTCCTTGGGTGAGGATTAAAAAAAAAAAAAAAGGCTGCCTCACTAAGAGGTGGTAAAGTGTGTGTCATGGGGAGGTGTACACATGCAGGGCTGGGACATGTTAGGTGCCACAAAAAGAACCCCAAGGAAGAGGTGGTACTTTTTCAGCCGTGTGAGTGGACGGATGAAAAAGCTGGGGTGGCCAAGGACAGACAGATAGTGTGACCAGATAAAAATGATGAAGAGGGGGATGAAATGGGGACAGGGTTTCATTTTGGGGTGATGAAAACATCCTGAAGTTGGATAGTAGTGCTGGTTGCACAACGAATACACTAAAACCCACCAGTACATTTTAAAAGGGTCACTTTTATGGCATGTGAGTTATATCTCAATTATACCATTATATATTTTTTAAAAGGATGCAGAACATATTTGGAGAATGGGAAATGGGGAATTTTCACATTTTCTGGTGGGGTGGAGAATCAAGTTCTGATCTACAGGATAAAAAGTCATTATTTAGGGAGGGTGGAAACATTTTTCCTGCTAAATTCTAAATTTTACATTCCCATCCTACCTTCTGAAGTTTCATTTTGATAAGAGAATTCGCCTCCACTTCTTGGGCTAAATTACTAGTGGAATAGTCATATGATGTTTGGAATCGTAGGTGATGGATTTTCAGTACCTGTACTGCTTCAGCTGGGTTTCAGAACATCATGAGAAATACTTATCAAAATGGAAGATTTCATAATCACTTCCCCAAACTGCCTTGATGGTATTATTCCAATACAAACAACCATAGGCACAACCATTTAGATTTCTAATTTATTATTAAATTACATAACAAAGCTTCTTCTATACAGTCAGAAAATGCACATTTAGATGAGAACAAAAATTAAATACAAATACAATTAAACTGGTTCCAAGAAGCCATTTAAAAGCAAAAAATTAGAAAGTGCATTTGGAATAGATTTTTAAAAAATCTGTATTGGCATTTTTCACGAGGAAACATCTTCCATCATGGTCAAGTGTGATTGGAATTGATTTCCCTCCCTCTCTGAGAGCTAATAGGATGGCAATAAATGCCAATACTTTGATACTAAAGTGAGGCCTTATGTACAAAGAAAATGAGAAAGACATGGCTCAGCTTCTTATCCAATTAACAACCTGAAGAGTCCCTTGTTCCTTCCTCATTCTCTTCCCCCTGTAAGACTTAAGGATGTGCAACAGATGTATAAAGAAATAACAAGATTAGTTTATAAAGACCATGATGTAAAGCTCTGCATCTTTTTGGAGACCAGGCTAAACAGCCCCTAACCCGAAAGGAGAATGTAATACAACCATTCTAACTTTCTAAATAGGATCCATTTGTTCTTTAGTTACATTTGCCACAAAATTCAATGTAACATCAGACATGGCCATTTATCCTCATCAGCTTAATATTGCAAGTTAGCAATCTCAATTTCCGAGAAATTGTATTTGGCTGATGATCAAACATAAGGAATTAGAAACAAAAAAGGCTACTCCAGTTCTTTAAAGTCCTTTTACCAAGTTGAGATCATTAACAGTGAAATAGAAAAGTAATGGTGGAAATGCAATTCCAAGATGCCTCAATTCCTTACAGGCCAAAAGGCTCAATGGGTACATTTCTCTATTCAGATGCATTCGGCATCCAACAGGAAAGAGCTGAAGTAAACATATTTGGTTCTAGGTATAAAAAGTACCCTTGTGATGTCTCTCCTCTCATCACTCATCTCCATTCTCAGGATTTTACTCCCATGCCTGATCCGAGGACTGGGCAGCGTGGAAAATGGCATTCTATGTAAAGTGAATGTTGGTACAAAGGAGAGAACAAGAGTGGAGAAGGTAAATCCTTTTCTAACATGAGACAAATAAAGGGTGAGCAATGCAGGTTACAGGGAATTCTCCAGCATCTAACAGTAATGATAATATAGAACGCAGAGATAGCCAGGACAGGGTGACTCAAGCACTTGGCTACTTGGGCTTAAACTTTAATAATGAACTTTTACTAAAGTTACCAGCACACATTAAAACAAAATCTCAGAAGTATACCTTTTAGAATGTCCTGCTTTTATGTTGATATGGTTTTTCATACTTTTTAGTGAAATGGAAAGTTTTGAGTGATTATAAAATGATCCCAAAGGAAAGATCATTATATAAGACAATGGCTGAGGGATTGTCCCCTAAGAGGCAATATTTGAGACTAGAAATAGAAAATTTCTTCTGTTCTGACTTGCTCTAAGAGTAGCTTACTGTTGGCTCCTGAGTCTACCAACAGGTCAGTAACAACAGCAAAGGAGAAGAGAAAAACCAAGATGGTTAAAAAAAAAAAAAAGTTAAATGACATGAAACTGAGAGTTCCTCAAACAGCTACCATGGGATCCCAGTTGAGCCTCTACTTGTCAATGGCACAGTCCTATTTCCTTGTTCCAGGTTTCCTTTCTGTAAATAAAGAACCAAGAGAGGGTGAGCACTGTCCCAGCCGTCTACAGTTGGCCCTGGGGCACCTCACTATGGGCTACAGCTCTGGGAGATTAGTCAGACCTACCTGAGCCAACATCCACACCACCTTCTCAACTTCCTTGGAAGAACTAGTTTCTTTATCTTTGTAAAGAAAATAATCAACACAATTTTATTACTTCACTTAAATAGAACCCTAATGGAAAGGCTCATCAGTCATCAGCAGTGTCTGCCTGCTTAGCTGCCACGAGCTGGATGAGCTCGGGTTCTCGCTGTACTGCCCCACGATCAGCTTCGATGAATGCACCAAATAATCAGACCAGTAAAAAAGACTGGTAGTATAATTAAATAAATAATTTTATTTATGAAACTTCAGATTTTATAAATGCCAACTATATAGCAACCAAAGTCCCATAAATTCTAGCTGAGGTACAACCACCAATCAAGGCCCTTTGAAAAATCAAAGATAATAAAGTGTCAGGGGAGAAAAGTTTTGTTCTCCCAAGAGAGAATTTAATAAATGCACTTCCCTGATCCTTGCAGGTTCACATTGAGAAAACTTAAACTTTCTTTTAAGGGCATCCCCAATCAACTACTGATTAATCAACCCCTATTTAGAAAAATAAACCCCATAGTTAAAAAAAAATATCAAATGCCTTTCATACCCAGAATATAACAAAATTTTGACACAAGAATGAAAAACCTCTGTCTCTGTATTAGACTGTGGGTCAGTCCACCCATCAGCCTCTTTTATCAAGTTCACCTGAACAGCACACACCATAAACACATCATGATGTAGTTAACTACACGCTAGAATCCTTTTATACCCGGTGGCATTGTCTGAAGCCAATACTGTAAATACCATAATAAATTCCAATGGTGAAAAGCAGCTTCTTCCTTGGTGAGATGTTGAAAGTCTTCAAACTATTTGTGGTAGTTCAGTTAGCTAAGTAATAAATTCACAGAAACTGAGAAATGGTTAAACTTAAGAGGGTTCTGGTGTGTGGTTTGAAATTTTGTCACTGTCCAGGGAGGTAACAGAAGACAGGTGCAGACAGAGAGACTCTGTCACATGCATCTTCAATAGTGAAACCACTCTCTGGATGTTTCGAAAAGCTTAGCAGATTTGGAATGAATAGGTTTTCACAGAACAGAATTCCTGTTACATTGGGTGGTAGTTCTTACAACTTCTGCTCATCAATCGTGGAGCATTTACAAATGGAATTACCTGAATGGTGACCCCTCGACCCATGGCTTTTTACATGTGGCTTGTTCAATAAATCTGACTGAAAACTGAGCAGTCCTCTCACTCAGTTATCAGTGTTAATGCTGACATGATGAGGATTAGTCGGAGGCACTGACAGACACTGGCTGTTAGTTTCTTTTGTCCTGGTAAAACTAAAATTTCATTTTCTTATAGTAGCAAATATTAACCCAATGGAATAAACAAAAATCAAAACACTAATTAACTCCTTAAAAAAGCCTGTCATTCTTGATGTTTTTCCAGCAACACAGTTAACCCCAGTGTGCACATGAGTTAAAAGCAAGCAAGCCCTGGCCGGTGGCAGAATCGCTGAACATCAACAGAGTTGCAGGTTCCATTCCCAGGCGGGGTGTGGAAGGGAGGCAAGGTCCATGTTCCTCTCTCACATAGCCATTTCTCTCTCCTCTTCTCTAAAAAAATATCAATAAAAACATATCCTTGGTGAGGATTTTTTAAAAAGGTTTTTTTCTGTGTTTCTTGTTTCAGACCTCAACTCTGTTGAAGTTGGCCTGTCAGCATCTCAAAAAAATCTGTGAAAAATGGACTTTTTCCTTCAATACCAAAAGACCTGGGGACACAGTAGAAATTTATAGCGCAGATTATTAAAAAGTGATTTGTGATTTTTCATCATGAGTGTAAAATAAAAGGACAAGAACTATTTTATTCACAACCCAATCTGGCAGCTAAAAGGAAAGCAGTCTTTGGATAGAGAGGCCTGGTTTTCTGAAGGGTCCGGCTGTTAAGACCTGGCTTGTCATCAGCCTTCAACACTATCACTGAAGCACAGAAACTCTGTTTCTGATTGGTTTACTTACCTCCTGGGGAGACAAAAACAACCAAAAACTTTTTCTTATTTTTCTTTTTTTTAAACTAAAAACAGAAGGAAGTGTGTTAGAAAAAACAGCACAGAAAAACTGTGGCTTCAGCTCAACCTGACCATGTCACAGAGTCCATCACTGTTGGCCCTGAATTAACCTGCTGGTCAGGCTAATTACCAGGACAGTCAATGTCTCCTTCCCACATTCCTTATTCCAGATAAGGGCCTGGATCCGCAATGGTAGCTGTCAAGAGTCCCGGAGCTGTCCCATCAATGGAAAGCATACAGCAGCAATAGGATGGTGCAGACACCAATAACTCCACCCAGAATGAGTGAGTCTCGTCGCTTCCTAAGGTTGATTCGCTGGATCAGGCTGTTCACAGCAGGAAAACGATCTTTGGGAAATCTTTATTAAGGTCATATTTGAAAGCGTCTTTAGTGAAAAGTCACAGAAATCACAAAAACAGAGATCAGAAGAGCCCAGAAACAAAGAGTAATGGTAAGAAAATCACACTGAGGGAGTTGCAGCCCTTAGTAAACGAAATGGCCAGGTCCACACCAATTCAAGTCTCCCAGTACACTGCAGCACACAAGAATAAAATGAATTAGGGGAGAGAGGAAGAGAAGAAAATAATAAGAACAGCTCCCATGTATTAACGGATTACTGCCAGACTGCAGGTCAGGGTGGTCAGAAACAGAGAAGCCCGGCAGGGCAGAAGGACATATGGACAGCCAGCTACCTCCATCCCCATCCCCATCCCCCCCACTGTTTCTCCTCCCTCCGCTACACACACACACACACACTCTCTCTCTCTCTCTCTCTCTCTCTCTCTTTCTCTCCCCCACTTCTCTCAGGAGACTGAAAAGTTTTGCCAGGGGTTTTGAAACATACCCTACCTCTCCCCACAGGGTGATAAGCTCCCTTGGATTCAGGCAGGCGGGAACCAACTCTAGGGTCTACATAATCAGGCACTGTTAATTATTAAATATTTTTTATTTACTTTGTATCAGTAGGTAGGACATGGTAGAAAAGTACTCTAGCTGTCCTATTTGTAGAACATATAAAAAGGAAAGCAAGGAAATTTTCCATTTTAGAGTTTTTATAGCAGTTACAACTGTATTTTCCTTAGTATTTTAAAATGTCTTCATACTCTTGTTTGTATGTTGTAGACCAAATTACATCTTACACTCTTCTGCATTTGTAGTGATGTTAAGACTACACGCCTGCAGGTGCAACTCTGGTTAACAGCGGTATTATATCAAGGTCAGAAAAACCACCACCAAGATCACCTAGGATACTAGAGAGTGGGAACAATCCCTACTCCTTGTGAATCCTCACTGCATTTTCCTGTAACAAAATGACTCCCAGCAGAGACTGTATTTGTATACTTATATAGTCTACATATTGTATGATTAGGACCATGTTTTCTTCTAAACTTGAATTTTCCTGTTTATCTAGAACAGCGCTTTATATACTGTAGACATTAATGTGTTTGTTTCTTTTGAGTGCATTTTTTTTTTCTTAGAAAGAGGAAGGGAAGAGAGGAAGAGAAAGAGGAGGGAGAGAGAGAAAGTGAGAGAGGGAAAGAGGGAGAGAAGGAAACATAGATTACTTTGCTCTTCCTACGTATCCCAATTGGGGACAGAACCTGTAACCTAGCTATGTGCCCTGACCAGAAATTGAACCTGTAACCTTTCCGTGTATGGAACAATGTTCTAAGCAACTAAGATATACTGGACAGGGCTTAATGTTTTTTTTAAATTAAGTAATAAAAAAAGAACAATTTGCAGAAATAATTCTTAAAATGTAGAAGGGTGGGAAGCAGGAAGTAATAGGCAAAAACTTTTACAAGGTACAACTCTCAAATGCTTAATCTTTCCTTGCCTGGTAAAAGAAGAATCAACAATCTCCTTAGAGAAAGTATGAGAACTTTGGAATTAGGAAATCCTGTCTTATACCGGACATATTTCTGTCCAGTTTACCTCTAGGGAATCCCCTGCCTCTCCTCTTCCTTAATAATCTAGCTCAGTCCATGTAATAGGACGGAGCTGACCTTGTCCTCCATCAGGTGTACATACCACCTCAGGATTGGCCAGGAAGAATACTCCCTCCCCTTCTCCAGTGACTAGGTTAGAAATAGGTGGTGACTCAAGCTGGGGGAAAAGTCTTCTTGGGACATTTCCACAGCTGTCAGAAAAGACCTTTTTTCCATGGGGATTTTTGAACTGGTAGAAGGTGACTCTTACAGTCATCTCTATCACCATGAGGAGAAAACCTGCCTGAAAATGAGGCCCACACACAGGAAAATAGAAATAAAAGATGGAGTAGGTGGGGGGAACAGAAAGAGGAAAGGCAGATTCTTGATAATAAACTCTTAGGCCCTGAGTCCAGCCATGCCATAAGCCCAACTCTACCCCTGAATTTTACAAATACATGAATAAATTAATCCCCTCCTTTTCCCCTTTAAGTCAATCTGAGTTTGGTTTCTGTTACTACCTTTCTATGGAGTCCTGACTCACAACCCTTTTATTTTTTAACACACATCCTTTTGGAATGATTGTAATTTGTGATACTAAAAAAAAAAAAAAAAAAAAGGGATAATGTACAGAACAGTATTCTGTAAACTGTAAGCCCTACATAAAATATAAATGAGCTCACCGGTGTGGCTCAGTGGTTCGGTGACGACCCATGCACCAAGAGGTCGCCGGTTCGATTCCCGGTCAGGACACATGCCCAGGTTGTGGGCCTAATCCCCATTGGGGAGCATGCAGAAGGAAGCTAATCGATGTTCTCTCTCATTAATGTTTCTATCTTTCTTTCTTTCTCCCTTCCTCACTCTCTCTAAAATCAATAAAGAAGAAAAAAAGTTCCCTGGCCAGTTTGGCTCGGTGGTCAGAGTGTCGGCCTGCCGACCAGAGTGTCTCAGGTTTGGTTCCTGTTAAGGGCACGTACCTCGGTTGCAGATTGTCCCTGGCCACGACTGGGGTCGTGTGGGTGGCAACCAGTCGACGTGTGTCTCTCTCACATCGATGTTTCTCTTTCTCTATTTCCTCCTCTCTCCCCCCTACTCTATCTGAAGATAAATGCAAAAAATGTTCTCGGGTGAGGATAAAAAAAAAAAAAGAAAAAAAAGTTTAAAATATAAGTGATTTTAGATGTGTGGTTTTAGAACAAAATTCACAAAAAACTGGAAAATACCCACACACTTCAGAATATTCTTTTCCCTAGGCAACTAAGGCATCAAACTAAAAGTGACTTTAGCCCTGGCCAGTTTGGCCCAGTGGTTACAGCGTCGGCCTGCGGTCCAGAGAGACCAGGGTTCAGCTCCCGCTAACCTGCTAAGGGCGCGTACCTCGGTTGCAGTTTGTCCCAGGCCCTGGTTGGGTTGTGAGGTAGCAGCCATTCAATGTGTCCCTTTCACGTCAATGTTTCTTTCTCTCTCTTCTTCTCTCTCCCTCTCACTCTATCTGAACAAAAAATGGAAAAATGTCCTCAGGTGAGGATAAAAAAGTGACTTTAAATGATCTAAGATAAGAAGACACTAAATTTTTGAAAATTATAATTGGGGAAGGAAACTTTTTTCCCTATAAGGCTTGATTTCTTAGAGAGTAAACAAAATGTTTCAGAGTAGTAGGTTTACCAGTTTCCCCACTGGGTTTCTCAGAAGTATCAAGTAATACTAATTTAACTTTGGAAACTGAAGAATTTAAAAGGTAGCGGTCTCAACAAACAAGCAGTTAATCCACTCTAGAGTTCAGCTTGTCACAATGAAAATACTCTATAAGCAGTTACAACTCATCTACGCATGTCTGTCTCCTTGTAAGCATCTGCCACAGATTTATCTTCCAAACTGATAAAAGAAAGAGCATAATTTATGTTTAGGTAAAAATAATGTATACTGGGCAGTTCTAACATGGATATGAGAACTTTTGAACAGTAAAATAATTTTGTGAACACTTTAAAAGTTCACATTCATAATTTCTTTCTAATCTAATAATAATAAATCTCTGGTGGTACAATCTTTTAGAAATGGTACTAAACAATATGTACTTTCACGAAACAGGAGTGCAGGGTACATCCATATTATGTCATTAGAGATCTTTCATATTACATCATGTGATGGCCTCTACTGCTACTGAATGATGGCACCCTGCTGGGGTGGGGGAGGTGACATGAGAGGAAAGTACACACACAGATTTGTGCCCCCATAAGACCCACAGATTCAAACTCAAAAAGGATACTGGCCAAAGTGTTCATTTTGCTCTGAATTGACTTTAACATTCCTCTCTGTGAAGTCATATTTTCTTTTGTTGCCATAGCAATGCTGTAGGGGAGAAAAAAGATAAGCTAATTAAATTGCCATTTAAGATGATCCTACATGGATCCTTCATGCCCTTAAAAGTGAAGAGAAAACCAAGGTGAACAATACAATCTTCAAAAGCACTGGGCAGGAACACAAAATCACTTCCCAATTCACCTTCTCATTGACCGTTTTCTAAATGACCACTATATCCCCATGCTACCCTCTGGTATCTTTTTGGGCAAGGCACTAAGCCATCTCTTGGTGGATTGTTATTGTTTTTTTTTTGGCAAAGTAACAAATGAAATAAGACAGTAACAGATAAATCACATACTACAAGAGCTTCTTAAAATGGTTGTAAAAGGAGCCAGCTATTATAATATCCTTAATCAGGAAAAACTATTAAGGGGAAATAGGGAATTACAATCATACAGCAGAAGTCTTTTTTTATTTTAAGAAACAAACTATTTGTATGACAGTAAGAAAGGTATTAGATATACAACAGGCAATTAATACAAGTTACTGCAGGGGAACGGAATTGAGGGGTACTACTAGGAGATGAGCCTTATACATTTACAGAATTGTTTAAACTGTTATAATAAGAATACTGTACTTTTATAATATATAAACATCTAAAAAAGAAAACTAAAAAGAAAATTAGAGGAATTCCCGAGTGACTAAGAAATGTTAATAACATCATCAGCACCAAACCTACTACTGTTATTCACCTCAGTACGAGTCAAGTAATTATTTATAAAGGTTTTCTCCAGATCCCAGAAAAGCTCAAGAATTGAAGGGATCAAGTATATCTGAGGAAGTGTGGAATAGGGCTAAAAACAGAAATTTGCAGGAAGAGTTGTCAGAACCCTAAATTATCTTCCCGAACCCTAAATTATCTTCCCAAACCGTGCAGTCAGATGACTGTCCCCAGTGCAGCAGAAGACCTAACCCAGAAGAGCCCTAGAGATACTGACATTTTGAAGTCCCCTTTGAAACAGCCAGGGCCCTTCATGATCACCCATTGTAAGGCCTACCACACAACAAGCTCTCAACAACGCACACAGAATGAGCTTCTAATCACTGGATTGGAGAGCCTCACCCTTAAATATGAACAAAGAGCCAGGAATCATCACCAGACAAATATTTGCAGAGATCTAAATAAACCAACCAGCAAACAGAAAAGTGACTCTGAGGAAATAGAGGCAATAAAAGAAACTCTAAAATCAAATTATATTTAATGTCTTCAGAGAGATAAAAGATATCACATCCATGAAATATGTAAACAAATATATGTGTATGTGTATATCCATCCATCTCTTAGGTGAGCTCATAAAATTTTTTTTAAAAGAGTGGAAACAAAAATGAAATAGAAATGTTGGAAGAACAAACTGAGTAAATCACACAAAAAGAAGAAAAAAAGATAAATGGAAACAGAAAAGGTAAGAAAAAGCGAGAAAAATGATAAACACAAAAAAATGTCCCAGAGCTGAAGATGAAGTTCCAGATTACAAGAGCCTATATCAAAAGCCTAGTATAATGGACTGAAAAAAGATGCATACTAAACTCATCATGGTGAGGTTAAAAACAAACAAAAATACAACCCTGTCCAGTTTGGTTCAGTAGTTAGAGCATCGGCCTGCAGACCAGAGAGACCCAGGTTCAGTTCCCGCTAAGGGCATGTACCTCGGTTGCAGTTTATCCCCGGCCCCGGTTGGGATTATGTGGGTGGCAACCAGTTGATGTGTCTCTCTCACATTGATGTTTCTCTCTCTTCCTCCCTGTCTCCTTCCCACTCTATCTGAAGATAAATGCAGAAATGTCCTCGGGTGAGGATTAAAACAAAACAAAAAAGTACAGGGGAAAAGGGATGATCCCAAAAGCTTTGAAGGAAAAAAGTGTATCATATACAAAGCATCAGACATTTTCATTGGCACAGGACTTAAAAAGCAATATTGGAAACAATGGCTTCAAATTTTCAAAAGTATTTCCAACCTAGAAGTCTATAGCTTAACTAACCAATGAACCAGGATATGGGTAGAATAAAGACCTTTTTAGATGTGGGTGTGGGAAGTCCAAAAAATGTACCTCCTGTTCTTTCTTAGGAAGTTACTAAAAGACATGGTCCAGCATAATAAGGGAATAAACTAAGAAAGTGGAGGACACTAAATCCAAGAAATAGCGATGTGATAAAGGAGATTAGTTTAGGATAATAGTGAAAGGACATCCCAAGACCAGAATAGTATAAACAGGCCTGGAGAACAATTAGTCAAGATTAGAGCAGAAGGGCCTTGGCCAGGAGGCTCAGTTGGTTGGAGCGCCATCTTGTACACCAAAAGGTTGCAGGTTGAATTCCCAGTCAGGGCACATACTAGGTGGCAAGTTTGAACCCCACTGGGGCGTATATGAGAAGCAATTGATCGATGTCTCTCTCTCTCTCTCTCTCTCTCTCTCTCTCTCTCTCTCCATATATATATAAAATCAATAAAATCATAACCTCAGGTGAGGCTTAAAAAAAAAAAAAAATTTAGAGCAAAAAGAAATAGGAAATTATAATATATTGCATTTTAGATCCAAAAAACAAAAAGAGCACAAAAAGAATCAAACTAACCTTGTCCTTGGTGTCATTAGTTCTTATTGATAACTTTTCAGTTTAAGTGTGGTCTATGACTATGGTTGTTTTAAAATAAATTTACTTTACAAGGTGTTTCAAAATTGATATTGTGGTCTTATACAAAGTAACAATTCAAAATTGGGCTGAGTAATTGAGGCCAATCTTTGAATCATATATGCCTCTGTTTTTTAAACTGGGACTATCACCAACTCCTGTGCACTTTGACTCAGAAGTAGATAGAGAAGATTAAAAAATAATTTCCCCAAAGCACTTTGTATCCCTTGGAGAATGGATATTATCAACATACAATGTTATCATCTTGTTGAATATGTATGATTTCCAGTACCACACAAAGTATATCTAGACATACTTTCCCATCTCATATCATCATTTAGAGTCAAGCTGAGTGGAATCTAGGCTGTTGTTATTTCAAGGGTCAAATACTAAGAGGCAAACATAAGCTCCAAATAATATATAATGCTTTTAAAATGATAAATCATTGATGTGCTTACTGGAATTTCAACTTTCTTACCTGTTTTATGAACTACTTAGACACATTTTTTTCTCCAACAAAACACAATACTAGTTTAACATTTAAAGCTAAAAATGTATAAACATTAAAAATATTAGTTCTTTTCCTTATATGTATGTATGCATGAACAGTGGACATGGACAACAAACTGGGGAAAGGGCAGGGAGGGAGGGGGAGGGGGGAATCAGTGGGGGAAAAAGGAGAAACATCTGTAACAAAAATTAATTAATAAAAAAAATAAATAAATAAAAGAAAAAGAAAAAAATATTAGTTCTTTTCAATAAGTTGATGCTAAAGTTTATAATCAGTTGTGTAGTTACTTTTAAAATATATCTCTAAAAGAAAAAAGTAAAATTTTACATGTAGAATATGTAAAAATAATTATTTGAAAATTAAAATTTTTTAATTACCTGTAAGTAATAATCAGCTTTATATTCAGTGAAATTTCACTTGTGGATACCTATCATATTTTGACACAAAGGAAACTAGTAAAATAAGAGACCTTCTAATTTTGTTTTTTAAAAAAATTCTCACCTGAGGATATGTTTTTGTTTTTGTTTTGTTTTTAAATTAGTTTTAGAGAGAGAAAGGGGGAGGGAGAGAAACATCAATTGGTTGCCTCCTGGATGTGCCTGGACCAGGGATTGAACCAGCAACCCGGTGTGCACCTGGATTGGGAATGGAACCCTCAACCCTTTGGTGCACAGGATGACAGTCCAACCAACTGAACCACACTGGTCAGGGCTTTTTAATTAGCAAAATAATAACAGCAGTGACTCAATGGTTCTCAAATATTCCTGTCCTATGAGATACTCTGAAATTTTATATTCATATGCCAGCCTTTAAATAGGTCAGCTTTGAATTTAAAAGTATATTAAGGTAGCCTGGCCCTAGAAGATCAGGCATAAAGAGCAGAAAATAAAAGGAAAAAAGAAAAGAAAAGGGTTACAGGGAAAATTAAACAATCTTCGACAAAATGAGATTTGACTTTATGTGTTGATGAAAGGTTAAGTGTCACAAGGAGATACTTTAGTTGACCATCAGGCGATTCTGTAAAAACTAAGTGCAGATAGAAAACCGAAGTGCATTCAATTTAAACAAAATTCCAAGGTATAATTGTATATTATAAAATATTATAATTTAAATATTATAGACCATTAAATAAAATAAGAATCCATGAGTCCATTTCGATATAAATAACCAAACATGTATGACATGAACACTGAAATATTTAGGGGTAAATAGGCATCTCTGCAACTTATTTTCAAGTAGTTCAGAAAAATATTGTGAAAACGCAAATGTGGCAATATGTTAGCATTAGAGGAATCTAAGTAAACAGTATATAGAAATTATTTGACTATTAGAACTCTAATGAAATGATATCAAAATAAAACATGAAAAAATGTATTAATAGCCTGGCGAGTGTGGCTCAGAGGTTGAGCGTCGACCCATGCACTAAGAGGTTGCTGGTTCAATTCCCAGTTGGGGCACATGGGCAAGGTTGTGGGCCAAATCCCCAGTGGGGGGCATGTGGGAGGCAGCCAATCAATGTTCTCTCTCATCAATGTTTCTATCTCTCTCTCCCTCTCCCTTCTTCTCTCTCTAAAATCAATAAAGAAAAAAAAATTTTTTTAATGTATTAATAATAAGCTACATCACCTAAGGCAACAGAAACAAAGGAGAAAATGAACACATGAAACTACATCAAACTAAAAAGCTTCTGCACAGCAAAAGATACAATCATCAAAATGGAAAGGCAACCCACTGTATGGGAGAGCATAATTGCCAATGATATATCAGATAAGGGGTTGATTTCTAATATATATAGAGTGCTCATATGACTCAACAAAAGGAAGACAAAGAACCCAATTTAAAAATGGGCAGAGGAACTAAATAGACACCTCTCCAAACAGGACATACAAGTGGCTAAGAGACATATGAAGAATGCTCAACATCACTAATCATCAGAGAGATGCAAATTAAAACAACAATGAGGTATCACCTCACACCTGTCAGAATGGCTGCCATCAACAAATCATCAAACAACAAGTGTTGGCAACAAGTGTAGAGAAAAGGGGACTCTAGTGCACTGCTAGTGGGAATGCAGACTGGTGCAGCCACTATGGAAAACAATGGCGTTACCTCAAAAAGTTAAAAATTGAAATGCCGTTTGACCTGGTGATCCCACTTCTAGAAATATATCCTAAGAAGCCTGAAATACCAAGCAGAAAGAATATATGTACCCCCATGTTCGTAGCAGCACTATTTATAATAGCTAAGATCTGGAAACAGCCCAAATGTCCATCAGTAGACGAATGGATAAAAAAGCTGTGGTACAGCCTTTAGTCAGCCTGTGGTCCAGAGAGACCTGGGTTCAGTTCCTGCTAAGGGCACGTACCTCGGTTGCAGTTTGTCCCTGATCCTGGTTGGGTCATGCGGGTGGCAACCGCTCGATGTGTCCCTTTCACGTCGATATTTCTCTCTCTCTCTCTCTCTCTCCCTCCCACTCTATCTGAACAAAAAATGGAAAAATGTCCTTGGGTGAGAATTAAAAAAAAAAGCGGTGGTACATATACACAATGGAGTACTATGCAGCTGTAAGAAAGATCTCTTATCCTTTGAGACGACATGGAGGGACCTGGAAAGTATTATCCTAAACGAAACAAGCCAAACAGAGAAAGACAAGTATCATATGATCTCACTTATTTGTGGAATATAATGAACATAACGGTCTGAAATATGGGGTAGTCCCAGAGTCATGGAAGTGGTGTACAGACTGACAATCCCCAGAAGTGGGGGTGGTGGAAGAGAGATAAACCACAGAACTTATATGCATGTATGCATGAACAATGGACATGGACAACAAAGCTGGGGACAGGACAGGGAGAGAGGGGGAGAGGGAAATCAGTGGGGGAAAGAGAAACATCTGTAATAAAAATAAATTAATTAATTAAAAAATAATAATAATAAGCTACCACTTACAGATTACTTAGTATTGGCCAGGCACTGTACTAGCCATTTTACTCAGATTATCTTCAATCTTCACAACAATCTTTTAGGGTAGGTATTATCATCAAACCCATGTTTTTTTTTTTTTATCCTCACCCGGGACATTTTTTTGTTTTTTGTTCAGGTAGAGCGGAAGGGAGAGAGAGGAACAGAGAGAGAGAGAAACATTGATGTGAAAGGGACACATTGAGTGGCTGCCACCCGCACGACCGACCAGGGCCGGGGACAAACTGCAACCGAGGTACGCGCCCTTAGCGGGAACCGAACCCGGGTCTCTCAGGACTGCAGGCCGACGCTCTAACCGCTGAGCCAGACCGGCCAGGGCCAAACCCATGTTTTTAAACACAAGAAAACGAAGGCCCCAATGAATTTATCTAAGAAGAGAGATCTTATAATACAGCCAGCTTTCAAACCAAATCACAGTCCAAAGCTTGTTTTCTTTCTACAAGATGTGAATTTGTAGTGGTTTAGCTAGAGCTCTGGTTCTGGAGTTAGAGGCTCAGATTTGAGGATTTGAATCTTCAAAACTATTTATTAGTCATGGGACCAGAGGTATATTACTTATCTTAATTTCTTTTTTGTGTTGGAGATAAGTATCTAATGATGAGTGTCCATCTCATGGGTTACTGAGGAGATTAAATAAAACAAAGCAGGTAAAGCACTTGAGCACAATACCAAGGCCTATGGTAAGAGTACCAATGTGTGTTGCTGTCTCCATGTATTATAGTCTACCTTTTCTGGAAAATAATACTTTAGACATGTAAATTCTAAAGTGTAGAGACCATACTTAGTTAACTTACTTTCCTAACGCCATAAAATAGGTATTTGAACATTCACTAAACCTAGGGAATTAAGCAGTCCAAACCAACAAATAAATGTCCCTACCTTAAGCAAGAAACTACTTCAACGTTATTACAGATAATACTAATTACCACAGTAGGTTTTCTACAGCCACTGAACCAAGTCTATGTAAATGGCTTAAATAAGACTTTTACCAAATAACATATTTAAGATTGTTTTCCATTAAAAAAATGAGAATTAAAAGACTGAGGCTGAAAAAACTAAGTATAAAATTAACCAGAAAAATCAACCTAGGTAAAATAGTGTGGGCTTCAAATGTCTCTTATAAGGGAAAGATACAGTAAAAATACATTATGATCTATTTAAATTTTCATCTTTAAGGAAGATAAATTAACTAGTTACAGGGTTAACGTGATCTGTTCACTTGTGTGAACAAAAAGCCACAATAAAATAAAATAAAAAATTATTCCTACCTTATTGTCTCTTCTATCAGACGATCTGAGCTGCAATAAAAAGAAAATTCAAATTCTGGAATTATTAAAAGCACATTTAAAACTTGTACTTAATTTTTCTACATTTTCTAGGTAAATTTACTTTCTAGCCATTTATTAAACAACATACCGACTTTTGAAAACATCTAAAGAAGATTCTAGAATCTGAAATAAATTTAATTTATCCACATATGTAATTTTCATCTTCCTTTTATTTGTTGGCTTAAATCTATTTGTTTCTCAGAGAAACCTGAAATCAGAACAGTTTTAATGTCAGCATAAATAAATGAAACTTCTTTAATTTAGATGGCTCAAAGTTGTCACTATTGTCTATTCTACGTTTAAGAATTACAACCAGCCCTGGCCGGTTTGGTTCAGTGGTTAGAGCGTCGGCCTGCGGTCCGGAGAGACCCGGGTTCGGTTCCCGCTAAGGGCACGTACCTCGGTTGCAGTTTGTCCCCGGCCCTGGTCGGTCGTGCGGGTGGCAGCCACTCGATGTGTTCCTTTCACATCGATGTTTCTCTCTCTCTCTCTGTTCCTCTCTCTCCCTCCCACTCTACCTGAACAAAAAATGGAAAAATGTCCTCGGGTGAGGATAAAAAAAAAAAAAAAAAGAATTACAACCAACTTGTTGAGACAGGATAGGTAAATATAGTTCTGATGCATGTAAGTAGTAATTACTTACACCTTAAAGTTCCTTCCTTTTCGGGGAAACTAAACCAAATCTCACCTCACCACACTTTAGAATCTGAATAAAGAAACCAAGTGCTCTTTCAATCTGCAAAATGTTTACCTTTATGCATCACACACTGGAAAGAAAAAAAAAACTCCTCCAAAAAGCCACTTTAGGGAGGAACTTATAGATAGCTAAGTTTGGTAAAGGGGCAGCTTTATCATAGAAAGGAGGGAAATAACTCCCAGATATCTGTATCATTTGGCACAATGCATGGTACAAAGTAGGCACTCAAATAAATAGTTGCATATTTTTTCCAAATACTTCTTTCCAAAAGAATTTCTAAACATAATAAAACAAAAACAAAGTCATAGATATGTACTACAGATTGGTGGTTACCAGAGAAAAAGGGGCTGGGGTGAAATGGCTAAAGGAGTTAAATATATGGAGATGGACGAAAACTAGACTTTTGGTGGTGAACAAGCTATAATATATACAGATATCAAATTATAATATAACCCTGAAAGTTATTTAACTGTCACCTCAAAAATAAATAAATAAGTAAATAGATAAAATTCTACATTCATTCTATAATCCAACAGGTTGAAGTTTCATTATAAAACAATATACCAGGAAACCTAATTTACTACATGAATTAGGAAACAAGACAGGCCTTAAAATGTCATTAATTTCTTACATAAATCCTATGATTAAGAATTTCAAAAATCGCCCTGGCCACTTTGGTGGCTCAGGGGTTACAGCATCGGCCAGAGGACTAAAGAGTCCTGGGTTTGATCCCCGGCCCCTGTCGGGATCCTGCAGGAGATAATCAATCAATGTATCTCTCTTACATAGATGTTTCTTTCTCTCCTTCCCTCTCTCTCTCCCTGCCTCTCCCTTCCCCTTCCTCCCACTCTTATCTAAAAAATCCATGAAAAAAAAAATCCTCGGGTGAGGATTAAAAAAAAGAATTTCAAAAATTACAAAGATGGTGTAAGGATTAAGAGCCAGACTGTGTGGCTTTTTTTAATGCTGCCTCTACCACTTACTAGCTACCTGACATTAGGCAAGTTACTCTGTGCCTCAGTTTTCTTCATCTGTAAAATGGTAATGATAATAAGACCTACTTGTTAAGAGGATTAAATAAATGTGTTATAGTTTCTCAATAATTATAATTTTAAATCTAAGCATAAAGTCTATATAAATTTCCACATAAATCCACTGTTCTGGGGGAATCTACTGATTATAAAGTATGTATTTATTTTGTCAACAAATGTGTATGGAAGTGTCCCTGAAGGGTACTGTGATAGGGGTTACAAAGATAAGACACTAACCTCCACAGGTCTTAAGAATGGAGATAGACAACACATATGCCTACTGGTGTCTTGGTAAATTGGACACAAGGTCATAAAAGAAAGAGTGGTTAATTTGGGTTAATGCTTCCCTGCACAAAACAATAGTTTGGTTGAGTGTCCTCATCAGGGCCTCTTAGTACATCAAAGGACATAAAAATAAGATACAGTCATGCCTCACTAACAGATATGCTTGATTTAGATGATTTCTTCATTGTGAAAACATCAGCTGGTATAGCCTACTATGCACCTGGCTATATGGCCTATTGCTTCTAGGCTACAAACCTGTACGGCATTATTACTGTACTGAATACTGTAGGTAACTGTAACACAATGGTAAATATGTATATATCTAAACATAGAAAAGATACAGTAAAATATATGATATAAAAGATAAAAAATGGTACACCTGTATGGGGCACTGATCATAAATGGAGTCTGCAGAACTGGAAGCTGCTCTGGGTGAGTCAGTGAGTGAGTGGTGAGTGAACGTGAAAGCCTAGGATATGAGTATATACTACAGTAGACTTGATATAAACACTGTCCCACAAACCCTCCCTCTGTTTCCTTATCACAAGGTCAGAAATAAAACAATGAAGCTGTCAATGCTACTCCGTGAACAGGTGTGGGACAGACTGATTGGAAATATCTAGGAGAAACTAGCTGGGTAAGTCACAATAATAGTGACTGTCTGGGGAATGAAAGGTGTCCTGCGAATTAGCAGAAATAAGAAACCAAGATGGAGAGATAAGGGAACATTGGGGACTGCCATCGCAATGTGGCTTTGGCTACTGCATATGGGAGCAGTAGTCAGATTAAGAAACTTTGTATTATTCAGTTAAAAAAGGGGTATTTAACATGGAGAGGGTAAAGAACTTAAGGACTCAACATTTGACTTTGGAAAGTTGTTTTTGCTTCCACTAACCCTCTGGCATTGAATTGATGGAAGAAATAAAACTTATTGTGACATATTTCCAAGATTCAGAAACAAGCTGGCTCCATATTACCACAGAAAACATTTACTAAAGTGGCAGGGGCACTTAATACATACTTGTTACAGTAGCACCTGTGAACCTGTGCCCTTGTATAGGATCTTAGGTCCTCAATTGGAATAAACAACTATGTACTCTGAAAACCATCAAGCTAGATCTGGGAGGGCTATAGTGCCCTCCAAATATGTAGTGCGGAGGAGACAGGCTCCTCTTGTGCTGGACAGATCAGTGGCTGACTGACTGGGATGTAATCTGTGCACTCAAATTGAGGTGGTGTGAGTGAGAGGGAATCTACTGCCAAACCCCACAGATATTGCTCCCATCAGAAAGAAAGAAAGAAAAGAAAGAAAAGAAAGAAAAGAAAAGAAAAGAAAAGAAAAGAAAAGAAAAGAAAAGAAAAGAAAAGAAAAGAAAAGAAAGGGAGGGAGGAAGGAAGGAAGGAAGGAAGAAACTCTCCTGAACCACATATCCTTTCATTTCTTACAGGAAATTCAGCTGCTTTATAATCTTATGGGACCACTGTCACATATGCTTTATTGACCACACAACAATCTTTATTGACCAAAATACTGTTATGTGAGCACAACTGTATTTAAAAATCTAGTTAGTATGACAATAATTATATTGCAAAACTCAACAAATTAGTTTTGTGTTAATAGCTTTAATTAAGACAAAATCAATTAAATAAACTACTAAGTACAAAAAAGTAAACAATCTATTCATTTGTTAACTTTGTTAAAAACAATAATTCCTAATGCTTATGGAGAGCTTTTTATAAGCCATGTATGCCTTATCTGTAACTTCAACCTGATGACTCTTGATTCTACCATTATCATCATTTACCGATAAAGAAATTGAAGCCTAGAGAACTTGCTCATGGGCCACATAATTATCAGCACAGCTAGGATTTAAACTTGAGCAGCGTGACTTCAGATTTGGTTCTCACCATCTTGATAAATGGTTACCTCTTTTCCCCACTATTTCTCCACAATCTGTTCTAGTTTTCCCCTACTGTTCCTTTCTTTCTTTCTTTCTTTTCCCTTTATTAATTTTTAGAAAGAGAGGAAGGGAAAGGAAGAGATAGAAACATTGATGAGAGAGCATCGATTGGCTGCCACCTCCTGCATGCCCCCAGCTGGGGATTGGGCCCACAACCTGGGCATGTGTCCTGACTGGGAATCAAACCAGTGACCTCTTGGTGCATGGATCCAAGCTCAATCACTGGGCCACACTGGCCGGGTTTCCCCTACTATTTCTAGATCATCACTCAACCCTACTCTAGCAAAAATCTATACTCTGAGGTTCATTCTATTTCTCAATCCTTACCCTTCCCTCTCATCTAGTAACATCCAAGTCACTGGAGAATCTCTTTATTCCAAAAAAAATTTAAGAGAGGAAGCCGTTTTGGCTTAGCAGTTAAGAGTGTCGGCCTGCGGTCCAGAGAGACCTGTTTTGGTTCCCGCTAAGGGCACGTACCTTGGTTGCAGTTTGTCCCCAGCCCTAGTTGGGTCATGTGGGTTGCAACCACTCAATGTGTCCCTTTCACGTCGATGTTTCTCTCTCTCCCTCCCACTATATGAACAAAATATCGAAAAATGTCCTCGGGTGAGGATTAAAAAAAAAAAAAGAGAGAGAGAGAGAGACAGAGAGAGAGGAAGGGAGAGATAAATAGAAACATTGATGTGAGAGAGAAACATTCATTGGCTGCCTCCTGCACGCCCCCTACTAGGGATCGAGCTCGAAACCTGGGCATGTGCCCTGACCAGGAACTAACTGGGGTCTCTCAATCCATGGGACAACGCTCAGTCCACGAAGCCACACTGGCTAGTCTCTTCATATTTGAAATGTAATAAGACTATTCTTACATGAATCAAATTAAAAACCTTATAAAGCAAATATATATGTCTCCATTTATCTTTCACTTTTTTCCTTTTTTTTTTTATCATCCTCACCCGAGGACATTTTTCCATTTTTTGTTCAGGTAGAGTGGGAGGG